TTTTATTTTAATCTACAGCGACGAGAGGGAAGCGGAGGGGCGGCAGCTTCTGGACATCAGGTCCACCACCAACAGGGGCATCCGACATTACCGATTGTATTAACCTCTCCTTTGTGAAGGGAGCAACTACTTATAGCAAAGTAAATAAAGGCTGAAATATAAATAGCTCGATCCACTGTCCTTTCACCAAAAACTGTAAGAGCAACTTTCTCTCTGTTTTTTTTATTTGAACTAATGGACATAAGACAATGACAATGCCTATTCATCAATTTGAGAATCATACAATGATACAAATAACCCGAAAGCTGAGAACCATAGAATCTCACACACAAGACTGCACGAATCGCTACAGAAGTAAAAGTAATAATTGACTTGAGGCCAGAAAAAAAAAACCACGCCAATCTATATATATTATGATACACTACTGCATCTTTATGGTTGTTTCCTTGACAGACCAAGAAACACTGACTTGAGACACAATCTATCGGACGGAGCTTGCCGGCTGAATGAGAAAATGATTGATGCTGATTTGTTGCGAGAGAAAAACACTATTATTTCGCTAAAACGGTACGGCTGATAAGTTGAAATGAACAAGGCGTTATCAAAATACAACTAAACATCAACTGAAGTTACACATATATCAATATACAGCGGCAGTCGAGTGGCGGCCTCGCAGGGAGCACGCCACAGCGGTGCGGTTGTGGGGGAGGCGTGTGGGAGCTGCGGCGGAGCCGGTCGCAGATCGGATGCGTGAATTTTATTTTAATCTGCAGTGATGAGAGGAAAGCGGAGGGGCGGCAGCTTCTAGACATCGGGTCCACCAACAAGGGCATGCAGCACGGACATACATCATACTCCCAGCATTGCAGATTGTATTAGAGCATCTCCAACAACGCCCCTATTTGACCCCGTACTATGGATTTGGGTATCGGGGTCAAAAAACAACCAGCTCCATCATACCCACTACTACACCTACTTTTGTTGGCCCTCTACTTTCTCCCCAAACCCTCCTACTTCTGTTGGCCCTCTACTCTGGACTACGCAAAAAAATTCTTCGCTTTCTTCCCCACGCGCACTACTTCCACCGTCGCCCACGTCCTTGCCCGGCGCAGCAGCTTGCCGGCCGTTCCTCCCCGGCACGGTAGCCTGTCGTCCGCTCCTGCTTCACGTAGCGGCCCGCCAGCCGCTCCCCGACGCAGCGGCCTGCGAGCTCCCCCACGCGGCTACCCCTCCACGCCGGAATCTCGCCTCGTGTCGCCTAGCTCCCGGCATCTCGCCTGGCGCGGCCGCCCCTCCCCGCTGGTGTCCGCCTTCGCTGGGCGTGCCCCTCCCCAGGCACACCCCTCCGTCCAGCGTTTGCCCTCCCCGATCGCCCTCCCACACCACCACTGGCTCTACTCCTCTGCTCGTCGGCGTCTACATTGAGAAGATGAGAGAGGATGACAAAAGGGCCCCATGCGTCATTGACTACTAAAACAAATTTGAGTAATGGTTTAGGTAGTATTGCTGGAGTTAGAAGCAAAATATGAATAGTCTCAAAATATGTGGCTACCTAGACAGAGAAGCAGGGGTATGTTTTAGATAGTATTGCCAGATATGCTCTTAGCCTCTCTTTGTGAACGGAGCAACTACTTAGCAAAGCTGAAATATAAATAGCTCTATCCACTATCCTTTCACCAAAAACTGTAAGAACAACTCTCTTTTTTTTATTTGAACTGACAAACCTATTCGCTTGTCTTATAATCCTTACTTTTCAGCTTATTTTTTTAGCCGGAACAGTAATTTTTTCTCCTAACAAATTAGCCAACAGTACTTTCTAGGGCTTATCAGCGAAGCGAACGGCGCCGATGACGATGCCTATTTCATTGATAAAGAATGACAAAGAAAAGGTTTTACAGGCTGGCGAGCCGGGAAAGCAACACTGTTTCAGGCACTTCTCGAGTACTACTAACTAGTAGTAGTAGCTACGTTTAGGCACAACAAATTCAGGAAACATGAAAACAGAGAACCACACGCAATCTTTCACATCAATTTGAGAATCATACAATGATACAAATAACCCGAAAGCTAAGAACCATACAATCTCACACAACACTGCACGAATCGCTACAGAAGTAAAAGTAACAATTGACTTGAGGCCAGAAAAAAAAAAACACGCCAATCTACATATATTATGATACACTACTGCATCTTTATGGTCGTTTCCTTGACAGGCCAAGAAACATTGACTTGAGACACAATCTATCGGACGGAGCTTGCCGACATTATGTTATCAAAATACAACTAAACATGTACTGAAGTTACACATATATCAATATACACCTGAGCAGATAGCAGGTAGGCTCACCATAAAAAGTTTGCAACAGCTTGCTACACTTTGCAACTATTCTATATTGCCAGCAAATACTAGGATTTGTTTGTTGCCTATAACTTTTGACAAGTTGATGCAATACAAATCGAAAACCATGGCAGTTTACATTTTAGGGCTTGTTTGGATGCACATGTATCCTCCACAATCCTGCCACTCAACCACACATGGATCGAGGGAGATAAATGGGGATACATGTATATCAAACAAGCCCTTAGGTGGAGTTTCTCTTGTGCTGTTTGCATAATGCTACTCTGAACTATGTGTGGCCATCCTTGTCCATGTTCTGATTTCTGGACCAAACCTCTAGAAGAAAATGACACTAGTAGTGATTGATTCCCAGATATCAGTTTAGAAAAAAAAAATCTGAATGAGCTTTGGAATATGTTAAAAAAACTATCAATACAACTAAATCCAAATGAACCACTCCCCAATGTGCAAGAATAAGTTTCAGAGTAAAATCAAAGCTGAAATATAAGTAGCTGGATCCAATGTGCCAACACCATGCCAGAGCAAAATATTGTATGTGATTCTCAAGGAAAAACTAGCAAAGCTAGCTTTTAAGGGGTTTCAATTTTTAAAATCCAGAACTCTGACACAAGTTCTAACATAAAATATTTCACACTCCTCTATATAATAATAATTGTGAAATACACAATCTCAAAGAAAAATATGCAATATTGCATATAAAAACAAGGGAACATACACAATCTCACATATGAAAAGAATTATTATCTGACACAACTTCAGTTTGTCTTATAAAAACCTTTAGCAATGACTTGTGCCCAATATATGAACCATGACCCACTGACCCAGTTTTAAGAACCTAGATGACAACAATCTCAACACTTTTTTTCAATATATATTTATTTATTGAGTAGGGGTTTGCCCTTCCTGTTCCCTTTTTTTTTCTAAAAAAGAACCTGACTGATTCTATAGGCATTGACTATGTCATAGGCAGTTGGCTAGGCCCAGTAGTATGAGAGGCCCATTAGGGGCCATTATTCTACAAAGGAACCTGACTAATTCCATAGACATTGACTATTCCATGAGCAGTTGGCTAGGCCCGGTAGTACGAGAGGCCCATTAGGATTATGGTTAAGAGATAAGATTAATCATCTTGCTTAGGAGTCAAGTAAAGCTCTCTATCTATATAAGATGTATCAATAAAACGAGGCAAAAAAAAAAGATCTATTATCCCAGTCCCCTGCTCCTATCCCTGCCCTTGTGGTGCCTGCCGCCTATCGGCTGGCTGATGTCGGGCTGCTTAGGTTAGAAGCGTCCAGATTACAGATAAAAGACATGGAAATGGAAGCGACTCTACCACAGAAATGCTTTTCAAAAGTTTTGTATTAATATAAAGAAACATCAAAGCAGGTATTGTAGGCGTGTAAGCTCACTGTATGCCCTACAACTTATGATCAGTAGCCATAATACATATTTAAAGCCATGGTAGTTTATTTTAATTTGAACTTAGCATCCATCCAACTCTGATTTCTGGATAAAACTTCAGGAAGCAAATGAAACTGGGGTTGACTGATTCCAAGCCATTGCCTGGGAATAAAAAGTTGTGGATGGAGCTTGTTGCCAAAAGCCTATCGATACTAAGGAACAACAGCAATTGTTAAAGAACATTATGATGCCTAACAGAAGCTAGGACATACTTCCAATGTTTAATATTGGCACTGTAAGTGTTTTCAATTAATAAGCCCAAACAAAACAGTGCAGCAAGTTTTGTTGTCTCCTGAGCTAAATTCATACCCTGCATGGTGGCATCTGCTATCAGTGACTGTGATACTTTTTGGGAACAATGGTGATGCTTATGGTAATTAAACTAGGCATGCTCTCCCAATTTTGAGTTCTGAACCAAATTTCTAGTAGACACTGTTAACTATGAAAATTCTGATTTGATGAATGATAGAATAAAGTTTCTATGAAACAGATTTAAAACAACTTCCCTGCAATACCAGATTTGCATACTGATACAATGTTTTCAAAAAAAAAAAGTGACTATGCTAATGTGACATTTCCACTTCGACACCAAATAATCAAAGCATCTATACATTGTCTTCACTAGACGGTTAAATTGTTGACAAATTGGAACTTTCAACACAATTTGTTAACTAATCCCAAATTCTATAAAGAAAAAACTCACAGCCTACACAATTCCAGAAACAGATATAAGCATTTATAACGACCTATAACAAGTCAATCGAGTATCGCTGGGCTGGCTGGCTGGGGCTGGGCTGGCCAGCCCCCTCACAAAAGCACTGTTCATCACAACCAGCCAGCAGTACTTCTCTCTCACATAAACGAACCAGCAACGATACGAACCAGCCAACCGAACAGGCCGTAACAAGACAGAATGATAACAAAATAAACTTCAATAGATCATACTGATGGAGCCAAAATACCAGCAAAGATGCGGAAGAACACATGCACAGTGATCCACGAACCATAGGGCACAAAGGCGCACCAAGGTACTTATATTGATCCCTAAACATCTTCAGATTGCTCAAACGAGTCTCAATCGATACGCTAATTAAGAGAGCCCATCACGATATCGACATAACACGAATCGCGACCCACGAACAACCTCCGTTACCGAACCGGGCGCAGGAGGTTAGTTCCCTCAGGCGAGGTCGTCGTCGTCGAAGTCGGCACCGTCGAAGCTGTTGAAGAACCCGGAGAAGTGGAGGGGCCCGCGGGCCTCGCCACCGCCGCCGCCGCGGCCCGCGCGGTGCGGGGCGAGGAACATCTCCCCCTCCCCGTCCTCCTCGTCGAGGAACCCGGCCCCCGCGGCGCTGAGCGGCGAGTCGTCGATGTCCATGAGCGTCGAGATGGCGTCGTCCTCCATGGGCTGGTGCGGACGGTAGACGAAGGGGGAGGCGGCGGGGGAGTGGCTAGGGTTTTGGCGGTGGTGCGGGGGCGGGTGGTGGCGAGGGTGGGGCTGGTGTAGGGCGGGCGGGGGCGGCAGCGGGGGTGGCCCGCGTGCGCTGCGGGACCTCTGGTGATGGCGACGCGACTCCATGCCAATGCTTTTTGCGGCTGATATTTCGCCACTTGGTGTTTGAGATTTGTGCTGCCCGGCCGGACCATTGGAGGGTTTTTATATTGGTCATAGAGAAGAGAGTCCTTTTGTTCGACTTTCACGGCAGGTTTTCGTGTTCTTTTTCTTTATTTATTTACGTAACTATATCTTGTATCCCTAACTCTATAATCTATTCCTAATTTATACTCCTAATAATAATAAAGAGATAAAATTTTAGACTATTTTTTTTGTCCGGCCCATTCTATTCAGGCCAACCGCCGGCCCACTCACTCGCTCATACCCACTCCCGTCCCGTGAACCCACTCTCGTCCCATGATCCCATCGATCCTCTCGATAAAATAATATGTCTCCGTGACTCGCCGACGCCGTCGCTTCTGCGGTCACGCAGCGCCGCCGTTGATGACGGGGATGGCGGTGACGACGGCGTGGAGGGAGTGAATGAGGTAGTCCAGCAGCTTGACGCCCTGGTCCGTGAGCGCGGCGGCGAAAGGATGCGACGGAGGCGGAGGCGTGGCCGAGGTCGACGATGAACTCGGCGAGGACACGGTCAGCGACGCCGAGGTGGGCCTCAAGCTCCGAGCAGACTACGAGTGAGAGCTGCGTGAGCCGACGCATCCCCTCGCCCACTGCGCTTGCGCCGGTCGCCGCCACCATAGCCGCGCGCACGGCACAGAGTTGGGCACGCCCCGCGTGCAGCCCCGCCGCTCAGGTCGAGGAATCCTGTCATCGTCCAGGATGCTCCGCCTCCTCCCGGGGCTCTACGTCGCCGGTCGCCGCCATCATAGCCGCGCTGGCTCTTCACGGCGCTGACACACGATTCCTCATCACTTGGCTGCTTGCTTGCTGCTCTAAATTTTATTGGTTTTGGCGGTGTCTTGCTTGACTGATGAGCCCGTTGATTTCGCTGCGATTCTGGTGTTGATTTCGCTGACTATTCTGGGGTTGGCGAATCCTTGATTTTCGCCAAATTGGTAAACCTTTGACTAAGAGTATCTCTTCTTTTTAACGACTTTTCTATTTTACAAAATTTCTAAATTTTACTATATACATCATTATTCAGAGAACCAACCATTTGTATAAAAATTATTTCTATATCTTCTCACTCTTCAACGATTCTTCTATTTCTCATACGCAGTCTAGAGAGTCATTCTCATCTTCTATATTTGGCTAGCGAAAAATCCAAAATAAAAGATGACTATATTTAGATGATCATTTACAAAAGCTGTTGAAGGGTAGTTTTTCACCCAAATCTCTATTCCTAGCATTTAAGAAAGATTTAGAGAGTCTCTTAGAGATGCTCTAAGGACTAAGGAGCACGACTCGCAAAAGCTTTTGTTGTATAATTACTCAAATCATATTTCCACATATTGGCAGGGTACATGGGGATCACCGATTGGTGTCTATGGGTCCCACGTTAAGAGCATCTCCAATAGTTCCCTAAATATTTCTCCTAAAAACTCTATATTTTTTAACTCCTAAAAAATATTAAAAAGGAATAAAGAAGGCCATCTCCAAGAGTTTATAGTAATCCACTCTTAAAATATAGAAAACAATTTTACATCAGGAATCCTATACTATTTCTAAATTATCCTAACCACTTTTATATATTCTTTCTCTCCTGTATATTTGCATCAGAAACCATTTCCTACTCTTTATTCTTTCCACGCCCTTCCACCTTTAGATTGCCCGACAAAAACGCTCAGGAGAGAAAAGATACGCGTGACTCGAGCGCGTGTAACTTTACGCAGAACTAGGTGACTTTTCCCAAGTTCTAAAAAATTAGAAGAATGTATTAGGGGTTGTTGATTTAGGACAATTCCTTCTCCCTCTTAATGAAATACAGGCCATGCGCAGACGTATAAGAAGTTCCGTTTTATTTCTTTGAACTGAATATACATTTGGAAACCTTCAAGCAGCATCTGATGCAGTCGCTAGGTGATGATAATTCCCAAGTGCATCATCCTCCTCCAATCCCTGAATTTCTTTTTCTATTAGTTTGTGCAAAGCAGTAAGGCAAAAATCATTGCTGATCTTAGCTAATGCAGGAAACGATAGACATAAGAACCTGTGAGTAATAGGTGCCAAAAGCAACTTCGTGGAAAGGTAACGCCCCTTGCACAAATTTCTCATGACCCTCATCTACTTTGTGGTTGCATCCTGCTAGCACCACTGTGTCACATGAGATGATACCGCCTCTGCATCATTTCTGAAGATGGACTAGAGAAAGCAATCCTGTATCCATTTGCTTTTCTATGTCTTGCAGTATCCTAGATAGAAATGATTGCAAATACCATTGAGACCTACTGCTGTTAAAGTTTCGTTGATGTAGGACTTATGCCTATCTGAATATTACTATTGTATTTGTCAACATTCTGAAACTGCAGTTGGTGCAGCTGTCAGGGGCATTAGGTTAGAGTGCATTTAAATGGGTATCCTGCAGCTGCAGAAAAAAGATCCTATTAATTGAAGAGTGTATTTAGGGAAATAAACTTATTCTTTTTCAAGCCTTTGCATGTGTTCATACTGAATTACCAAACCATGTCTTTAGGTAATAAGTTGATTTTTAACAAGTTGGCCTTATCCTAAGTAAAAGATGCTAGCTCAGTCTATTTAGAGGTTCCCGTCCGCCATCTTTGTTGGATGCGATTGAAGCACTTCACCATTGCCAAATGAAGGTGGTCCTCCTCTTCCTGTTCTACCTTCACCACCACCAACAGAAGTCCCAACATGGTGCTGATGCTGCGGCCAGGGTGAGTTTGCAACTGAACCATGTGCCCGCGTATTGACGTGCTTGGAAGAATCAAGCAAGGAAGCTGCAAGTACTAGGTATAAAAATACAAAACCTGTAACTAGCTCTTACATTGAGGCCATTTTATATTTCAACATTTCTAGCATTCGATTAAGGATTTAATTTAATGAAATAATTGTGGACTGTCATTTGTCACTCAAGATATTCAAAAAGAGCATGCACACAACACATAAAGGCAAAGCAACTGATCAAGGTGCATAAAAGCAACTAATCAATGAGATTTAGTAACTTGCAACCTCATATCACTTAGAGTATAAACAGAAAATGTCAAGGTATACTAACTATTTGTGTTATTGACTAAAATTTGAACTTAAAAATCAAATATCACAGGTGTCCGCAGGACTTTTATTTGTATGTATAAAAACTGATGTAAAGTATATTCAGATTTCCCATTACCTGAAAGCCTTAGTTCAGTATTGCAGAGTAACACTATTTAGACGAATGTTCTGTCATAACTCACGTATCTTTGCCAAGTTAGTGGCTGATAATAATATTAAAAGCGTAAAATACAGTGCTATTATGTTAGGTCAATTTACATGGAAGTCATAAATTCAGTAAGCAGGCTGTACAATTATATTTACACAAATAAATAATTTTATTTTCTTATTTTTAATATAATTTCGCCATACAAAGATTTATTTCTTCCCGTTGCAACGCACGGACACGTTTGCTAGTAATAATAAAAAAGCAAAATTTCTGGTTTTTTTCCGTCTAGCCCATTCTATTCGGACCCAACTACCGGCCCACTCCTTTGATTCCGCTTGCCTCAGCCCAAGTTAAGCAGGCCACTGTCCCGTCGTTCCTTCATCTCGGAGGAGGTCCTCGCTTCCCCTAGATCTAGTCCTGGCCGCCGCCGGCAGCCCAAGCCGCCCTGCGTGGCCACAGCCGGCTGGCCGCCAGCCTGTCCAGGCCATCGCAGGCCCCTAGGCCAGACCCCGCGGCCACCCAGACCTTCGCGCAGATGGGCTCGAGCTGGGACAGACGGGCGCACATGACAGGAGGCGAGACGAAGAGCGGACACCCAGACCCTGCAATGCTCCTTACCAGGATTAGCCATGAATCTACTAACAACGCTCAATGCATGAGATAAATCAAGACGAGAACAAACCATGGCATACATAAGAGAACCAACTGCACTAGAATATAGAACTCTAGACATGTACTCAATACCATCATCTGACTCTGTACATAAAGCTGAGGATAATCTGAAATGTGCAGCTAATGGAGTACTCACTGGTTTTGCATTATGCATATTGAAACGATGAAGAACCTTTTCAATATAACCTCGCTGGCTGAGGTATAACTTTCCAGATTTTCTATCTCTAACAATTTCCATACCAAGAATTTTCTTAGCTACAACTCAGTCCTTGATCTCAAATTCTTTACTCAATTGTGTCTTTAATTTAGTTATTTCTGATTTTTCTTTTACAACAATCAACATATCATCAACATAAAGAAGCAAATTAATAGCTGAGTCATTAACAATCTTTAAATAAACACAGTTATCATAATCAGACCGCTTAAAACCATGAGAGAGCATAAAAGAGTCAAATCTCTTGTACCATTGCCTAGGAGATTGCTTCAAACCATAAAGAGATTTCTTTAACTTGCAGACAAGGTTTTCTTTTCCAGGAATAATAAAACCTTCAGGTTGGTTCATATAAATGTCTTCTTCTAACTCCCCATGTAAGAATACAGTTTTAACATCTAGTTGCTCAAGTTCATAATCATGTATGGCAATAATACTAAGCAAAGTACGAATAGAACTATGCTTAACAACTGGGGAAAAGACATCGTTAAAATCAATACCTGGTATCTGGCTATAACTCTTAGCAACCAACCTTGCTTTATACCTTGCTGGCTCACTTGGAGAAATACCCTCCTTTCTTTTAAAAATCCATTTACATCGGACATGCTTCTTATCCTTAGGCAATTTTACTAAATCCCAAGTACCATTCTTTTCAAGTGATTCCATCTCATCTTGCATAGCGGTCAT